CCCCGGGAATGAGGTCCCTGGAAATAGTCCTTCTTCTTCCAGAAACTTCCAGGAGAGTTTTGCACCTCGGGGTCACCAGCAGCTAAAACACGTCTAAGTGTGTCCAGAAATGGCATGGAGCGGACTCAGGCGTGGCTGTCAGTGTGGACTCTGGGAACTCAGAGCAGAGTCTGAGGGGATCTAATCTCACCTTACTTTGAGGCGTGGAAGGGAAGGGATTGGCACAGTTTGGGTCAAACATGAAAACAGACTCTCAATTCCTGGCTCTCCCACCAGCTCCATCCGTTCTTATTTTTCATCTGATCGACTTCAGGCTCTGCCTCGTACCCCTGCGCAGGGGAGGGTAGTGGCCATCTCGGTGTAGTAAGCTCCTTGAGGAGCAGGATTCCCAGTGGCTCCCAGCACACCACCCTCCCACTTCCGCTGGGGCAACATCCACCTCCTCTGTCTTTCGTTCCATCTCCCAGCAGCTGTGTGTACATTTGGCAGTTTCCACAGGTCCCTGAAAGGCCTCTCTCCATCGCTGCCGGTGGGACCTGGTTTGCCAGCAGGGAGGGGGTGTCGCTCTGAGCATTCCAGCAGAGCTCAGAGAGGGGAGGTAACTTTCCCAAAGCCACTCAGCTTTGGGGTTGGGGCCGAATTCAGATCTGCTGCTCTCCGTGGCGCTTATGCCTTCCACTTCTCTTCAAAGGAGTTGTTGGCTGAGTCGAGGGAAAGCTCTGGCCTGTCTGTGGCTTCTGGTCACAGAGGGTTTGGATGCTAAGAAAATTAACCCCTCTTTTACAGCAAGCTTCTGTTTTCATTCAAGACTACGGTATTTCAATTCAAATGGCACCATTTCAGTTCCCCAAAAAAGCTCCTCGCAGTTGGCCTAAATGAGCCTCTTAGAGCTGCAGGCTCTCTTCTGCTCAGGGAGTTCCGGAAAGGCCTTACATTCTGCCCCTGGGGAGCACTGGGGGCGGGGACATCTGTGTGTGTCACAGCTGGGGGAGCTCCCGGCACTGAGGGGGCAGAGCCAGGGGGGCTGCCCAGGACTGCCCATGGAGAGTGACTCAGCCCCAGTGTCAGCAGTGCCCACGGGACAAGCTGTTCTAAACGAGTTGTTCCCCCTTTTGCCATCCCCGCAGCCCCCACTGAAGGAAGCCTTACTCTCTCCATAGTTTTGTGGGTTGTTTGTTGTTTTAATAGCGAGAGCCCTCCGAAACCGGTTTGGCTCAGTGGATAGAGCGTCAGCCTGCGGACTGAAAGGTCCCAGGTTCGATTCCGGTCAAGGGCATGTACCCTGGTTGCGGGCACATCCCCAGTAGGGGGTGTGCAAAAGGCAGCTGATCGATGTTTCTAGCTCTCTATCCCTCTCTCTTCCTCTCTGTAAAAACTCAATAAAATATATATTTTTTTAAAAGAGGGAGAGAAGAAAAGCAAATAAATTAAATTTTAAAAAAGAGTAAGAGAGTGACGGGGAGAGAAAGGAGAAGCATCGATTTGTTGTTCCACTTATTTATGCATTCATTGGTTGCTTCTTGTACGTGCCCTGACCAGGGATCCAACCTGCAACCTTGGCATATGGGACAATGCTCTATCCATTGAGCTATTAGCCAGGGTTCCTTGGTTGTTTCATTCTTCCGTGCATTGGAGCCTCATGTCTCGGCTCTGGTCTATACTGTTTTGGGGGTGACTAGCCTCCCTTTTATCACAGCTTCTCAGGCTTGCAAGGGGCAGGGTGGCCTCATCATCCTTGCCTTTGAGACATGAGCATGCTCAGTTCTTCTGTGCAGCCAGGTTCCACCTGCTTGACTTCCCAGCCCTTCCCTGGGAGCCCAGCCCAGGGCCTGGTGCTATTTGTCAAGGTTCTATTTTTAGGCTAACCTCACCCCAAGTCTTGTCCTCAGGCTCACCAGGCCTGAGCCAGCCTCTCCTCAGAGGCTGAACCCAGAGTTGAGAACGTGACGTGACCCGTGACCGCTGCCCACAGCTCTGACCACCTCACCCTCCCTCCCAGAGCAGTCTGCCCCGCCCCCAGCTTCCCCAAGGCCCTGCCCACTGCTGGGCCTTTGGAGGCTCTGCTGGGCCCGGGCAGGCCCTGCCAGGTCAGGTGCCCGCTTGGTCACATGCCTCCTGTGGAGAGGCAGCTGGGGAGGCGTGTTCCTACGCTGACTCAGCAGGCTCCTGTTCTGCCAGCCTTGGTCTCATCCCGGAAGGCATGGCTGGCCCATGAGTCAGTGACTGGCTGTGACAGCAGCCAGGACGAGGACTGGAGTCTGCTACATGGTCTGCGGTCAGTTGGGTCTGCTACAGTGTCTGGATCTTGGCATCTTGGCACACTCTCTCTCACACACACACACAGATGCATACATATACACATGCACACTCTCACACATATATACACGTACATATACACAGGTATGCTCACACGTATCGCATATGCACACATACTCATGCTGACACACGTGCAACACAAACATATGCACATACAAGCATGCATGCTCACATACACAGGTAAACACACACACTTGCATGCACACGTGTAACTCGCACACATGCATACACACACCCCTCTGGCCGCTCTCTGGGGCCTGGGTTCCCACCAGAGGGGCCTCTCCGCGCACACCGGGCACGAAAGCCAGCCCCCCGTGGCTCGGTGCTCGGGGGAAGGCCGCAGCCGGGCAGCTGCGCGGTGCCGGGGGTCGGGCTCTGGTGACACACTGGACGCCGAGCAGGACTGGGGCCTTCCAAAGCAAACACTCCGGCCCCCCGTTTGTTCTCTGTGCACGGCTATATTTAGCGCTGAGTAATTTAGGTATTTTTGAGCCGAAGCAGGAGGCTTTCCCTGAGTTGGCTGTTTTGTGGCTGCTTTGAAGCTCTCCGCTGAATCAGAGCCTGGGGCCCACACATGGGCTCTGTGCGCCCCAGAGGGGCCGGTGTCCGCGGGACGCAGGGAGCAGGCCGTGTGCGGAGGGGTTTAACTTTGGTGGCGATCACTATAGATCCACATGCAGCTGTAACACATCAGAGAACTTCCTTGTAGCACTCACTCTGTTTTCCCAAAAGGCAGTGCCCCCTCTCTATATTGGGTTTATTGGGGTGACCTTAGATAACACAATTCTATAGGTTTCAGGTGGACATTCCATAATCCATCACCTGCACATTCTGTTATATTGTGTGTTCACCACCCCAAGGCAAGTCTCCTTCTATCACTTTTTTTTAAATATATTTTATTGATTTTGTACAGAGAGGAAGGAAGAGAGATAGAAAGCTAGAAACACGGATGAGAGAGAGTCATCGATCAGCTGCCTCTTGCACACCCCCTACTGGGGATGCGCCCGCAACCAAGGTACATGCCCTTGACCGGAATCGAACCCGGGTCCCTTCAGTCCCCAAGCCGACGCTCTATCCGTTGAGCCAAACCGGTCTCGGCCTTCTATCACTTTTTATCCCCCCACACCTCTTCTACTTCCCTCGACCCCCCCCCCCCCCCCAGTATAGTGTTTTGTCCAAGTCCCCTGTCACTATCACAGCCAGGATTCTGGCATTGATACAGCCTGCTGACCCCATTCAGATTTCTGCGGGGTTTAGTGTGTGTATAGTAAGTTCTGTGCAAGTTGACCACCTGGGCAGGCGCACGGACCCACCACCAGCCAGGACCCGCCCCATTCCAGCGCCAGGAGGTCTGCTGTCACCCTTTTCCCCAGGTCGCACCCCAACCCGGCCCCAGCAACCCCCATCACGCCTTCATCCTCACCATCTTGTCATCTCAAAAACAGCCCGTACGGCCCCACACCGCCCCACACCGTTTGTAACCTCTAGGGATCGGCTTTGTTCACTCAGCAAACTCTCTGGAGCTCCGTCCAAGGCGTGTTTGTCAACAGTCCACTCCTCTCGATTCCAAAGAGGAACTTATCTGAAAATTTCTTAGCCGCCTGGCCCTCCTGACTACCAAGCAGACAGTGAGGCAGTGTTGGTGACAGAAAGAGAGTGCTGATTACCTGGTTAGAAGTCGGCCTGGCTGGGGCGGGGACTTCCCAGGACTCTTGAACTTGGATTCTGCACCCGGTACCCCACCCCAGCCCACCCCTCGGGCATCCTGGGCACTGTGGAGGGTTGAGCAGCATTCCTGGTCCCCACCCCCCACACCCCCATGCTCAGAGCAACCCAGCGTGACAACCTCAGGTGTCCCTGGACATCATCCCAGTTGGAAGCCACACCACTGGGGCCACTGGATGGAGACAGGTGAAAAGGTGGAGGTTTCACCGCCTTAAGGAACAGAGAAGAATTTGGATAACTGAACTACAAAAACAACATCACTCATCCACCGCAGGCAGGGATGTAAAATGGTACAGACACTCTGGAAACGGGTTGACATTTGCTTTCAAAATTAAGCCTGCAGCCACAGTCCGCAGCATTTTCCCCAGAGAAATAAAGACAGTGTTCACGCGAACGCTGATGGCAGCTTTCTTCATGACGCCAAAATGAGGACTCGGCCCCAACGGCCTTCCACGGGGGCGTGGCTAACCTGTGCACAGCCCGGCCCGGAGCACGACTCTGCCCCTCGGGGGAGACTGCCACGTCTGGTGACAAATGCCGTCCTGGCTGGGCGTGCTCCTGGCATCGGGAGGGCGGGGCCCGGATGCTGCTCGGCACCCTCCAGTGCCCAGGACGGCCCCGCCCCGGAGAGGGACCCAGCCCACTTCCATAGACCCTGGGGAGGGAGCAAGGGTCCCTCCGAGGGAACTGGTACCTTTTCCTGCCAAGTCCCCCATCGGGAGCCAACCAGGAGTCAGGCTTTGGTTTCATGAACTCCTGGGGACCCTTGATGGTCACAACCAGAGATCGGCCACAGGAGGGAAGTGGGCAAAGAGGGGTTCAGCCGGGCCTCCCCATACGACCTGAGGACACAGACAACATGGCCAGTCCCCAGGGTGGGGGGCGGCGGGTAGCCAGAGAGCTCCCAGAATGCGGGGCGTCCTGCCTCTCCATCCTCACACTGTCTGCTTCCCCCACAGCCATCTGGATGACAGGGCCAGAGCTGATGGCACACAATGTCAGCCACTAACAACGTCGCCCAGGCCCGCAAACTGGTGGAGCAGCTTCGCATCGAGGCCGGGGTCCAGCGGGTCAAGGTGAGCAGGGCAGCCGAGGACAAGGCAGAGGCACACAGGCGGGGGGCAGCGACAGGGGAAGCCCAGGCACAGCGGCAGGAGGGTGCGCTGGCCCTGCAGCTGTGCCTTTCGCTGTGCAACCTCAGGCCACCCGATCTCCCCGCGCCCCGGCTTCCTCAGTAGACAGACACAGCTGATAGAAAGCCACCGTGGGTTGCGGTGATCCCATTGCCACGGTGATTTATAAACACCGACCTCGCTCGCCCCCAGTGCCAAGACGTCTCGGAAGCCTCCGTGGGGCCGCCCAGGCCCTGCGGGAGGGCCAGCGGGAGGCAGCATCCTCTCCCCTCGGTCCCCTCGCCTCCCTCGGACCACAGAGGCAGACAGCAGAGAGGGAGCTTCTCGCTGCTGCTTTCTTCACTTCGCGCTGGGTGAATTTTTTGAAATAAGCATGTTTGCTCTCTACGCTAAAAAAAGAAAAAGGACAGGCAGTTTCTGTTCGCAGACACTTAACCCATCGGGGACCAGAAGCAGGCAAAGCAAAATAAAGGAGTGCAGCACTGCAGACTGGTTTTAAAAAATGATGCTCTGCATATCATCCAGTTAGCCATTTATTTTGAAGGGCACAATTCCCTGGCCTCGGGTGCGTTCACAATGTGCAACCATCCCCTCCGTCTAGTTCCCTAACGGCCCCTCACCCCAAAAAGAAGCCCTGCCCCCTTAGCAGTCACCTCATCCCCCTCCACGACCCTGACAGCCACTAGCCCACTTCCTGTCCCTGGGATGTGCCTGCTCTGGGCATTTCACAGAAATGGAGTCCCACTGTGCGGCCTTTGTCTGGCTTCTCGCACTGAGCGGCCTGTGTTCAGGGTCCGTCCACGTTGCAGTGCGTGTCAGGGCCCTGCTGTCCGGCTGTGCGCGGACACCTGGTGTTTACGTAGATGAACTGCGAGCAGGAGGGACATCAGGACGCATCCAGGGCACATGCTTCCCCCTCTCCCGGGACATGGGCAGCGGGCTGCTTACGTAAGGGAGGCGCCTGGCACCTTCCAGAGGCACCTTCTCGCCAAGCCCAGGCCACTGTGCCAAGGGCGGTGAGGCGGCTCCAAGGACCTTGGCCCGTCCCAGAGCCCGGCCTGCAGACAGCGGGCGCTGCAGGGAGTCTCCAGCTGGAAGGCCCGGTGCTTGGTGCTTCTGGGTTAGCCCGGCTCCCTGTGTTCAGTCAGGGATCGCCAGAGAAATGAGCCAATGGAATATGTGTGCATCTCTATATAGATATGGATATAGGTATAGATATAGGTATAGGTATAGATATACAATAGATACAGGTTTAGATATAGTTATAGATATAGATATAGATATAGATAGATATACAGATAAAGGTATAGATACAGGTATAGGTATAGATACAGATATAGGTATAGATACAGGTATAGATGGTATAGGTGTAGATGATATAGATATAGATACAAATACAGGTATAGATACAGTTATAGATATAGATATAGATATAGATATAGATATAGATATAGGTATAGATATAGATACAGGTATAGGTATAGATACAGGTATAGGTATTGATACAGGTATAGGTATAGGTATAGATACAGGTATAGATGGTATAGGTATAGATACAAATACAGGTATAGATACAGTTATAGATAGATATAGATATAGATACAGGTATAGATATAGATACAGGTATAGGTATAGATACAGGTATAGGTATAGGTACAGGTATAGGTATAGGTACAGATGATATAGATACAGATACAGATACAGATGATACGGATATGGAAGAGAGATGCATTTTAAGGACTTGGCTCACGCCATCGTGGGGGCTGGCAGCGGGGCAGGCTGCAGGCTGAAGGCCCAGGGAAGAGTCAGTGTTGCCGCTCGAGGGCCAAGCCGTCTGGAGGCAGAATTCTCTCTTCCGAGCAGGGGCCTCGGTCTTCTCTCTTAAGGCCTTCAACTGATTAGATGCAGTCCCCTGCCTTATAAAGGTTAATCGGCTCTACTCAAAGCCGACGGACTTAAGTGTTAACGTGATGTGTAAAGCATGCTCAGAGACATCTCGTCAGATGACACAAAACCAGCTCCCAGCCCACGTATTTGTTCAGACTCGCGTTCCTGAGCCTCTGCCATGCCCGTCGCTGCTGCTGGTCTCGGGGATTCATTAGGAGGGGATGGCCTGCCAGGCGCAGGCAGACTCACACCTGAGGGCCGAGCAGAGTGGTTTTGATATCCCCCTGTGCCCCCCCCTGTGAACCCCCCCTGCCTCCACCAGCCACCAGCCAGTGGGATGGGGGAGGGCTGCTGCAGGGGGCCAGGGAGTGCCTCCCAGGAGGTGGCTGAATGTTCCAGAACTCTGCACATTCAAAGCATTCCTCCAGGCTGAAGAAAGAGCAGGGCCGGTTGAAGTGGTTTTCCTTTGTGAGTGGTGCCAGCTCCCAGCCTGGTGGAGCGGTGACTCATCCCACCCCTTTGATGTTCAGGAGCACACCCCCCCCCCCCCCTGAAAACCGGGAGGAGGGGAATCGGGAGGTAACCCACTCTCCCTCTGGTCCGCCTGCGGTTTTGCATCCCCCAAAGCGGTGACCGGAACCACAGAGCATCAGCCTGCCTGCAGGGCCAGCCGGCCACGGCCTGGCAGGGAGAGGTGCCCACGGCTGGCTGCGCGGCGGTGCCGTGGCCCTGGCACTGTGGGCAGAGCCTTCCTGTCGGTGCCAGGGATGGGCGGGGGGCCGCACGCCGGAGCCACAGCACCAGCTATTTTGGGGCCCGGTGACTATTTCTGTCCTTTGGGAGGGGCACTTTCCAAATAGGACTCTGAAGCCAAGCTCCCTCTGCCCATCAAAGGCGGCTTCCCCACAGCGGCCACTTCACCGCCTGCGGGCAGGAGTGTCCCCGGCACAGGGCGGCTGGGTGTGCGGTGTGGCAGAGCCACCCAGCAGCCCCCGCACGGCTCATTGCCCTCGGGCCTCCCAGGTGAGAAAGCAAGGGGCTGAGGAAGGGAGCCCGTGGGCAGACAGCTCCTGCCTCTGGGATAGGATCCAGGCACCCACAGACATCCTGTTCACCCTGACCTAGGGTACCTGCAGCCCAGCCCCTCCGCCCTGCGGGGGCAAGCAGACCGGGGTGGCCCCTGCAGCCCCCAAATGCAGGATCAGGAGGAACGGGGCATGTGGTCCAGAGGGCACCCTTTGAAGTGACCCTCAGCTGCCCGGATGCTCAATGCCAGGTTCCCCCCCCCCCAGCCTTCCCGGGGACCCTCCCTTCGCCCCTCCTCTCTTGGGGGCTCCGACGCCGGTGGTGCTAAGGGTCAGTGCCCTCACGGGGTCATGGACCCCAGTGGGTTCCGGGTGCGCAGGTAGGAGATGCAGGCAGGCTCGGCTTGTGCCCCTCGGTCATGCCGATGACCGAGCAGGGGTCTCGCTGTTCAGTCCTTTCTCGTGTGGGATGGCGTCTTAGGCCGAATCCTAAAGAGGCTGCATCTCGTTCTGACTTTTCTTTTCAAAATCTGGGCAACTCCTGTTGTAGGATGCTCCGTACTTCTTTTTCAGTATTTTGGTAATGGTGGTAAAATGCACAGCATAGCCTGGCCGGCATGGCTCAGTGGCTGAGCATCGACCGAGAACCAGGAGGTCAGGGCTCCATCCCGGTCAGGGCACCTGCCGGGCCGCAGGCTCAGGCCCCAGTGCCGGGGGGGAGGGAGAGGGCATGCAAAAGACAGACAATCAGTGCTTCTCATCATCAATGTTTCTCTCTCTCTCCCTCTCCCTTCCTCTCTGAAATCAATAAAAATTATTTTTAAGTACACAGTCTAAACTTTATCATTAGCGGTATTTAATGTATTTGGTGCTGTGCAGTCATCACCTCTATCCAATTCCAAATCATCTCATCGTTTCACAAAGAAACCTCATCCCCATCAGCAATTACCCTCCATCCCCTCCCCCAGCCCCTGGCAACCACTGAGTCCACTTCCTGTCCCCGTGGACCCGCCTTTTCTGGAGATTTCACACGAACAGCACCACACACCGAGCGGCCCTCTGTGCCTGGCTTCTCTCACTGAGCATGCCGTGTTCCGGGCCCGTCCATGCTGTAGCGAGTGTCAGTGGCTCGCTCTTTTCCCGGCTGAGCCACCTGCCAGTGTGTGCAGGGACATGCCGTGTCTGCCCGTCGTCATCCGAGGGACAGTTGGGCAGGAGCCGCCTTTCGGCCGTGCTGTGAACACACGTGAACCAGCCTCTGACCTTCTCTCTCTCATCCTTGTGCCCACGCTCAGGTCTCCAAAGCCTCGTCAGAACTCATGAGCTACTGCGAGCAGCATGCCCGGAACGACCCCCTGCTGGTGGGAGTCCCCGCCTCTGAGAACCCTTTCAAGGACAAGAAGCCTTGTGTCATTCTATAGCCTGGTCTCCTTCTGCGTCTTCTCTCTGTGTGTGTCTCTCCCTCCCTCTCTCCCTCCCTCCCTCCCTCTCTCTTTCTCTCCCCAAACCCTTCCTCTCCCTCTGTGTCTCTGTCAGGGCATCCTTCAGTGCGTAGTCAAAGCAAAGCACTTTGGGTCCCTGAAACGTGTGATGCCAAAAGAAATGCAAAGCTCCGCCACCGCCCGGACGGCGTAAACTGTACCCGCTGGGCAACGATGGGTTCCAGGCCGAACCGCGCTGCCCGAGGGGCCGGAACATGGCTGCTGGCTGCACAGCTTCTTCCCGTTAGGGGGAACCGAGATGCCCAAAGGATGCGGTCGCCATATTTTTAAATTGCCATGGGAGCTGTGGCCCAGAGCCAGGCTGTCAGAGAGGGATGGGAGGGGCGCTGGCCGCTGGTCCGGTGACCTGGGCAGCCTGGCCGGCTGGCCGTCTCACACAATTGGCCACTTGTTAAAAAAAACTTCCTCCGCAGTGCGTTTTCTTCTGTAAAGCCGACAGTGTGGGGCCGGGGGCTGTCATGAGCTTTACAGGAATAATCTCCCTATCGTTTAGAAAGCTGTTGTCTGTACTGCCGACGTCGGTGTCCATGGCTGAGCTTGGCCCTGCTGTGTGAGGGGCCTGGGGGGTGGGGGGAGCGTGGCCTGGGAAACGCACCCGTGTCCCCCGTGTGGCCAGGTGTCGCCCGCTGTATGGCGCTGGTTTGGCATGTGCCACGCGTGCCCACACCCCTCTCCTGGGGACCCCACTCTTCCCAGGAAGGGCTTCCAGCCCCTTCCCTGGTCCCTGGAGTGGCCCGCTGGGTGTCGTTCTGTTTTAAGCACCGACATTGGTTGGGCAAGTAGAAGTTGTGAACATATTGGGCTCTTCAGGGTTTATTGTTTTATTTTGGTTTTTCTCCACTTTCACTTATCTCCGTGGCCACTACCAAACAGAGCTGCAGCCTGGGGGTCGGGGGGGGGGGGGGCAGGCCTGGCGGGGCGGGTGTGAAAGGGTGTGAATGGGCTGGAGTAGCGGGAGGCCTCCGAGCTCTCGCTGGCTCCCACACCCCTCAGACCCAGCGCTCTGGCCGGGATGGTGAGAGGCACAGGCGTTCACCACCCCTCTCCCCAGCAGCCTGGGAAACGTGATAAGGCGTGGAGTCCAGGCTTAGGCGGGGGGGCAGGGGGGGCTTTTTATAAAGTCACTTTTTCTCTGTCATGACACGGACAGTGAAAGGAGTAAGAGGATGGGCCCCTCCTCCCCTGCCAGTGCCACCATGGCCGCCAGGACCCCACACAGCCTTGCACTCAGGGTTCCGCCTGCCCGTGACGGGGCCGGAGGCAAAGTGTGGGAAGGAAGGAGCCCGAAGCTGCCCTGTGGCCCCCATGGACGTCAGCCTGAGGCCGCACCCGGGGGACTGGACAGCCGCCAGCCCGGCCTCACCGCACAGCCGGGGCCACGGCTCCGGATGATCCTGCACCAGCTCCCCGGGCGCAGGGGGTGCTGGCTGTCCCGCACCCAGCTCTCCCCAGCCGGTCTGGGAGCATCGGGCCCGGGGAGCCCGGCACCCCCAGACCTGCCGTTGGTCAGGAGAGGCGGGAGGCAGCCTGAGCGGGAACCTGTGCTCGGAGCCTCTCACATCCCAGCACCCCGTTCTAGGGCCCCGGGGAGTGACCCCCAGAGGGCAGGGAGCAGCCGCAGAGCCAGACTTGGAGACCGAGGCTGCGGCCCTTCCCACCGGCCATCTGGTGACTGGTTACTATGCGCCCCCTTTGCTCCATGACAGAAGCCTTAATCCCTGGAGCCTGCATCAGATCCTTGCACGCCCATCCTTCTTCCTGTGCCCTCCCCTGTCCGGCCACCAGGCCCAGAGAGGACAGCAGGTCCCGATCCCGCCCAGGGGCCCAGACCTCCCCTTTTTCTGTGCCCCTGCCTGCCAGTCATTCTAAGCCCTGCCCCCCCCCCCCATGTGTCCGGACCCCAGGCCTCCAGAGAAGCCAGTAGGAAGCAGAGCCGAGGGCCCTGGCCGAGGGAGGAGGGATTGAACCCGAGACCATAGCTTCACGGCCTGCAGTGGGCTCAGCCTGCCAACATGTTCCCCACCCCGCCCCCCTCACCCCCAGGCCTGAAGCAAACTCCAGGCTGGGCCTGGGGCAGCTTCTGAGCCGGAAAACCTGGGGTCTGAGTGGCCTGGGTAACCTGAGGCCCAGCAAGGTGAGGACAATCAGTTTCCCACACCCTTGCCCTACCTGCTCAGGGCCCACACCTCCGACCCCAGGGAGGTGGCGATTGGCTGGCGTCCCGCTGTGGTTTTCTTTCTAGCTGAGAAAACACACACACACACACACACACACACACACACACACACACACAGCTCCTTTTCCCGTCTAGAGTCAATCTCTCTGTCCACAGTGTCACCTAAAGCAGCAGGCGCTCACAGCCATGCATACTGCAGTGCGTTCCTGATCAAGCATCCGCCGCCAAAACGTGGCTTTCAGGGCGGTCCGGCCCGGAAGTGCCCCCCGCGTTAGGGAGCTGGAGGTGGTGGCAGCACAGGCTTGGGGAATCCAGCATCTCCAACTGTGTGTGTGTGGTGAGGGGGAGACGCAGAATTGAGGACAGACACAAGGCAGGCATGGAGGTGCAGTGTTTCCAGTGGCCAGCCCTCCTGGCCTGGCCAAGCCCCTGCTCTGGTGACAGCCCCGTCCACCCTCCCCCCCCTCCCCAGGAAGGACCTGGACCACGCCCCCTGCCCCATGCTCCCAAAGGTGACTCAGTGTGACCTCCAGCCCCAGGGGTGGAAACCCGCTGAGCTGGGCGGAAGGTGCTGCCGTTCCGGCTTCGATGTCCCTGCCACTGGCCCAGGACAGCTCCGGGCCGGCAGCTCATCCGTCCGGTGAAGAGCCCCCCACCCGCCCCCCTGCCACTCTCCGGGCCACAGGATAAGGCCCTTGGTGTCTCACTCTCTCGCCCAAGCTCCAGTGACCAGGGGCAGTTTCTGGCCCACGTGGAGCCACCAAAAGACGCTCCTCCTTCAAGAGCACTGACAAGGAGCCAGCCTGCCACGGGTCCCCCGGAAACAAGCCATACGCCGGACACTCCGCCCTCTTCCCGCCAGGGAACCCGTTACCCAGCGTGTGACCCCGTGCTCCTGGTCTCAGAAGCAATCTGGGTCTGCTGGGTTCTTCCCCATCTGCCTCTGGATGCCGGGCGGGTTTTATTTCTGATTTTAACAACAACAACAACTCCAGGTGTGTCACTCCACTTTCTCGCAGTATTTTAATATTGTGTGGCGTTGTCAATACGAAGTGAATTAATCCACAATAAAAAGGCTCACTGCTCCTTGTCTCAGTGCGGGCCCTTCCTTCGCTCCGTGGCAGTGCTGGGAGGGTGGGACGCCCACACTGACCCCACCCCCTGCCTGCGCCAGGAGGAGGCGCCCTGGCGGAGCCCGCAAAGGCAGCAGCGCTCACGGGGCTTCAGCGCGGGCGGGCTTCGTGTCTGTAGCCCGCACATGGAGGGGAAAGGCTTTCTGCATGAGCCGCGTGTCCACGGGAAAGGCCCAGAGCCTGGGGAGATCTCCATTGCTCCCCCTTTCGCCAGTCACCCAGAAACCACCCCGACCACCAGAGGGACTCCAAGGAAGACCAGGGAGCCGTGGCCCAGCTCCCACCACACCACCAAGAGTTAACATTTTAGTAATAAACCTGCAAATGGGTGACTCTGACCGCTAAGTAGAGAAGAACTTGCTCTGTATAAAACATTTGTAAATTCAACTACGTAAAAGTTATCCCTTGAGTATCAAAAATTAAAAGATTAAAAGCAGTTCGAAACCCAACAAAATTATCACAGGACCCAGCAGCCCCATTTCTAGGCATGTACACACAAAACCATTGCTGTGTGTACATACCTAGGGACTTCCGGAGGGATGTACACTCCCATGCTCGCAGCAGCCTGACTCACAACAGCCAAAGGGGGCACCACCCAAATGCCCAGGGGTGGCCCGTCCACACACACATACTTCTCAGCCTTAAAGGGGCATTCTGCCGCCTGCCACCACACTGGTGAGCCCTGCGGACACTGTGCTGAGTGACACAGGACAAAAGCTGTGAGATTACACCGTGAGCTCCCGGGAGGAGTCTCATTCACAGGCAGAAAGACGGTGGGAGCCAGGACTGGAGGAGGCGGTGGGGGTTCGTGTTTAGCAGGGACAGAGTTTCTGGGTGGGAAGATGAGAACGTGCTGGAGATGGACGGTGGAGATAGTCAGACGACACTGTGCGTGCACATAACCCCGCAGGATGTGCACCTAATAGTTAAAATTATATTTTACCAGAAACAAAGCAAAACAAAAACCACCTTCCCCAGCATCGCCCGAGGCCTCCAAGGTAAAAGAGTGGCCTTGCTGAGAGCAGAGCACCCTGGACTCAGCTTCCCGGTGACGGTGAGCAATGCCAGCACCACTCCGGGGAAAGGTCTGGCAGCTTCTTATAAAACCAAACACACACCTCCTCCCGCCTCGGCCTTCCACCTGTGTGCCCGGGGAGCTCAGCGCGTGTCCGCACGTCCTGGGAGGCGCCTTCAGGCAGCCCTTCCCGCAGTGGTCCCAGTCTGGAAACCGCTCAGGTGAGGTGAGTGGACAGACAGACTGCCGCCCAGCACACAAAGGGGTACGCTAACACGGAGGCCATCCACGGAGCCACCACGGGAACAGCGAGGAGAGCTGCTGGGCCTGTGAGAATGACCCCCCGGGCGTCCGCGTTCCTGACTCCAGTCCCCGTGGCTGCGTCACCTCCCAGGGAAAGGGGCTGCGCGGGTGGGGTACGTCAGGAACCGCAGGCGGGGACAGCGCTGGGCTCCCCGGGGGGCCCGAGCCCTCACGGTGCCCTCGTAAGAGGGAGGCCAGGCCGGAGGGGGAGCCTCCCAGGTGGAAGGGGCTGTGCCGCTGGCTGTGAGGACGGAGGAAGGGGCCACGTCGAGAAGCTGGGAGAGGCAGGGGAGAAGCCAGTTTGAAAAACCTGTGCTATGTGATTCCAACTTTAGAACCTTCGGGGGGGGGGGGGGGGGGAGGCAAAACTATGGCGGTGGTTAAAAAGATGAGGAGTTGGGCCGAGACCGGTTTGGCTCAGTGGATAGAGCATCGGTCTGCGGACTGAAAGGTCCCAGGTTCGATTCCGGTCAAGAGCATGTACATTGGTTGCAGGCACATCCCCAGTGAGGGGTGTGCAGGAGGCAGCTGGTCGATGTTTCTCTCTCATCGACGTTTCTAGCTCTCTGTCCCTCTCCCTTCCTCTCTGTGAAAAATCAATAAAATTTTTTTTTTTTTTTTAAAGATGAGGCATTGAGCCCGGCCCGTATGGCTCAGTGGCTGAACCAGGAGGTCACAGCTCGATTCCCAGTCAGGGCACATGCCCAGTTTGCCGGCTCCATCCCACCAGCTGGTAGATGACTCTCTCTCACCCTTCTATCTCTCTCTCCCTTCCCCTTTGAAATCAATACGAATAGATATTGTTTATTAAAAAGTGAGTTGGGAGAAGGATGACTAGGGGAGGAGCATAAGGGAACCTCAGGAAGGGACGCTTCTGTAGGACGTGGTCGAAGTGAAG